ACAGTTTGTTCTGCTCCCTGTGTTCTTCCTCAGAGTCTCGTGATGTTTCTGTGACGTGTCCACTCACCGGTTTTAGCGCTGTCTTCCTACCGTGGACAGTGTTGGGGAGTAACAGATTACATGTACCGCAGTTACGTAATCAGAGTACACATTATGAGTAACTGTATTCAGTTACAGTTACTGTTTCCATGAGTGGTAATTGGATTACAGTTACTTTGTTGGAATAAATGGATTACTTGGTGGTATTTTCCTGTTTTTACATTTTGGGCTACAAGGACTAAACCAGGACTAAACCAGGACTAAACCAGGACTAAACCAGGACTAAACTAGGTCTAAACCAGGTCTAAACTAGGACTAAACCAGGTCTAAACCAGGTCTAAACCAGAACTAAACCAAGACTAAACCAGGACTAAACCAAGACTAAACCAGGACTAAACCAGGTCTAAACCAGGACTAAACTAGGTCTAAACCAGGTCTAAACTAGGACTAAACCAGGTCTAAACCAGGTCTAAACCAGAACTAAACCAAGACTAAACCAGGACTAAACCAGGTCTAAACCAGAACTAAACCAAGACTAAACCAGGACTAAACCAGGTCTAAACCAGGACTAAACTAGGTCTAAACCAGGACTAAACTAGGTCTAAACCAGGACTAAACCAGGACTAAACCAGGTCTAAACCAGGACTAAACTAGGTCTAAACCAGGTCTAAACTAGGACTAAACTAGGTCTAAACCAGGTCTAAACCAGGACTAAACTAGGTCTAAACCAGGTCTAAACTAGGACTAAACCAGGTCTAAACTAGGACTAAACCAGGTCTAAACCAGGACTAAACCAGGACTAAACTAGGTCTAAACCAGGTCTAAACTAGGACTAAACCAGGTCTAAACCAGGACTAAACCAGGACTAAAACAGGACTAAACCTGGACTAAAACAGGACTAAACCAGGACTAAAACAGGACTAAACCGGGTCTAAAACAGGATTAAAGAGGACTAAGCCATGTTGCATGGACCATGTCTCCACGTCTTCTATTAATAATATTTTTAATGCGCTTAAGTAAAGTCTGTTTTTTTTATTTTCTTTAAGCAAACAAAACTTCTTATGTGAAGATTTCCTCATCTTTGCTACTTTACAGCAAATCAAGTAATCCAAAGTATTCAGATTACGTTACTCACTTTAAGTAATTTAATGGATTACGTTACAAACTACATTTTGGTGTGTGCAATCTGTAATCTGTAGGGGAATACATTTTAAAAGAAACCTCCCCAACACTGACCGTGGAGGCAGGACGACAGCACTACCTGCAGTCCCACTTCCTCAGGACAGTCTTCCCGTAGGAAGTCAGCACCAAAACCTGTTTAAATCAGCTGAGCGACACATCACAGCAACATCACATGACTCTGAGGAAGAGCAGGGAGCAGAACAAACTGTCAGGGATGAAACAAACTATTGGTCTGACAGAAGAACCTAATAACATATTGGGCTGGTTTGGTCTTCATGAAGATAGAAATGCCATAGTGTGAAACATTCCAGACAAAGCAATAACGTCTCGATGGAGAAAAGTGTTTGCAGTGTGCAAACATGTAATGGGAGTGTATTTGGTTGATTGTGTGTGTGGTTCTGCTTTGAGGCTTGAGTACTGAGGACATCTCTAGGGAGTCGGCTAAAAACCAATTGGATAATCCCTGACTGGCTAATCCACCTGTCAGTGATGTAATCAGTGTACAGGCCCGGAAGACGTTTGGAAACATGCGGATGATGACTTCCGGTGTATTTCCCAACACTGGGCATGTGATAAAACCCTGGACTCAGCAGCAGCATCTTCACAACCTGCCAAAGCTTTCCATGGAGGACAGGACTCTAGTCGCGTCTTCAGCGTCACTTACACACAGTGGATTAGAACTGTTGATCTGCCCAACATAACAGAACACTTACAAATTATAATACACAAATTGATCTGCAATTTATAAATGAAAAAAGTAAGAATACAATGACATCTAGATGAAGAAAACCGGGCCATTTTCTCAGTTTGCCCAGATGTTGTCAGAGTTGTCATCTGCATGTTTCCAAACATCTGCTGGTTTTGTGCCGTAAGTGTGAAGATGACCCATTGTAGAGTTCTGTTGTGCTCAGCAGATTTACACTGGGTATTTGTCTTTTATTTTATTTAAAAAATATATATTTATGTATTTATTTGGGACAAGGAAGAGATTTACGTTCTTATACAAATGGAACATACAACATTTACAGATAATGAGTAACTGTTACAGATTGCTAGTATAGTCTTCCGTAAGCATGAAAAGGGCCAATTCTGGATCTCAGGCATCAATCGAGATTCGAACCTGTAATCTTCTGGTTTGAAGGACAATTATGAACAGTGCCACAGCTTGTCCTTGTGTTCATGAACAGGAAACCTTTGCAGGTCTTTTTAGTTATTATCTGATTAAGTTGTATTCAGCTTTTTCACAATATGCTATTTTTTTGGACACATAATTTAGTTGTTTTATTATCCGTAAACTACAATTATAAAAATTCAAAAAATAAATTCTTAAAATATTTCACTCCATGAGTCACGAGTCTGTATAATCTGTTGGTTTGACTTTCTGAAATGAGAAAAAAAAACATTGAACTTTTCATGATATTCTCGTTATATGTGATGTATTAGTGTTCCAGTTTGTGTGACCAGAGTCTGAACTCTGGAGGACTGACTCTTTATCAGTACTGATCATTGTCCAGTAGAAATGACTGAATGTGGATTTTGATGTAAATAAAGCGCACGTCCCAGCTCCATGTCCCTGTGCTCGAATCATCACTGAGGCCTGTTGCTCTTCTCTAATCTCCACCACACAAGATTAAAACTGATCAGAAAATCATTTGAGTTTGAAGTGTTTGGAACATGGGCCCCCACAGAACACTAACTCTGACACTTCACATATTTATTACAGCAATTACTGCACATCGTATGAGACTACACTAGGATGCTACGCTAGGATGCTACGCTAGGATGCTACGCTAGGATGCTACGCTAGGATGCTACGCTAGGATGCTACGCTAGGATGCTACGCTAGGATGCTACGCTAGGATGCTAGACTGGTTCATGTTTGTTTTGTCCCCTGAAGCTTTGATGCAGTTTATGTTTACTTCTGATGACTTGTAAACCAATATTTGTACATCAACTTAAAGCTGCACTGTGTAATTTTCTGGCTGAAGGGTCTGCCACCTGCTTCTGTCCATGGAGATGTTTATTCTTAGCCTGTAATGTTCCACAGTATAGCATTAGCATGCTGTATTGTAAGTACTTACACAGATATAGTATTAGTACTAGTAGTAGTAGTAGCAGTAGTAGTATTAGTAGCAGTAGCTGCAGGCGTTCCCTCCATCAGAAATGTTCCGCAGTATTCAATATAAACTCACAGCAGAGTCCCATTTTTCAGAGCAGAATTTGAAAAGTGACTGAATAGATTCCAGAGAAGGACCATAAGACAGAAAAGACAAAACACACGGCATTTTCTATTTTGGTTCAAGGAGCTTCAGATGGTTCAGTGCAGAGTTCTACTTCTGCCAGGTTCTGTTCCTCAGAGCACAGAAGCAGCTCTGCTTCACTTCACACATACACAAATATACAAAGTGTTTCACACTGGTGACTCACTCATGATAAATATACTAAAAGAATGAAAAGCACACGAGACAATGCAGAACATGGATGAAAATCAACACTAACTCCATCGCACCATCTCCTCTGTTCCTCTGACCTTCTCCTCTGTTCCTCTGTTCCTCTGACCTTCTCCTCTGCTCCTCTGTTCCTCTGACCTTCTCCTCTGCTCCTCTGTTCCTCTGTTCCTCTGACCTTCTCCTCTGCTCCTCTGTTCCTCTGTTCCTCTGACCTTCTCCTCTCTCCTCTGATCTTCTCCTCTGCTCTCTGTTCCTCTGACCTTCTCCTCTCTCCTCTGATCTTCTCCTCTGCTCCTCTGTTCCTCTGACCTTCTCCTCTGCTCCTCTGACCTTCTCTCTGCTCCTCTGTTCCTCTGACCTTCTCCTCTGCTCCTCTGTTCCTCTGACCTTCTCCTCTTCTCCTCTGTTCCTCTGACCTTCTCCTCTGCTCCTCTGTTCCTCTGATCTTCTCCTCTGCTCCTCTGCTCCTCTGTTCCTCTGATCTTCTCCTCTGCTCCTCTGACCTTCACCTCTGTTCCTCTGCTCTTCTCCTCTGCTCCTCTGTACCATATATTCTCTCTCCGTCCTCTGCACACGCTCAAATAACCTTCCAATCAAACATTGCAATAAATTCCTGTACCAACTCCAGTTGCAACACTGAACACGAGCTGGTCCCTTCTCCTCCATGCTTAAAGAACCACCCTAAACTACTGTATTTGCCAAAGTTAAAAATAAAACTTTATTTCAGCATTCGTTTTGAAGAATGAAACCAATTGAAGTGAAATGCAAAGGAAAAACTGTAGAGCTGTGAAGGTTAAAATCAAAACAGGAGAGAGTTTGGAGACAGAGATGGAGGTTGGACTGGGATGAGTTGAATAAAAAAGATAAGAAGAGGAGACTCTGGTGGCACTGGTCTGACAGATCTGAATATATTTTTAATTATTACATTGTTTGTATTTGTTATAATAATACAACTAGCTATCAAGATACTAATTTATGCTAAAACGAGTATCAAATATAGACACTTGTTAAAAGTCCTATCTAAAAGTATCTGAAATGATATAAATAAGTTTCACTGGGAGAAACTGACATTATGTGAAGATGTTTAGAGTGTTTATCAGTCTGTGTTGTCAAAACATGTACTGAGGCTTTTCTTTTAATTGGTACTGAGCGTTGTGTTTTTAACTAAAAGGGCGGTCACCATAGTCTCCTCTGTTCATGGGAACATTTAGTCAGTACTTACACAGATACAGTAGCAGTAGAAGTAGCAGTAGTAGTAGAAGTAGTAGTAGTAGTAGTAGTAGTAGTAGTAGTAGTAGTAGTAGTAGTAGTAGTTTTGTGAGTACTTACACAGTGTGCGTGAGCTCCTGGGGTCTCTCGGCCTGTTCGGGAAAGACCGGGTGAGGGGGCTCTCCGATGGGCACACAGCCCAGAGATTTACTGATGGCATGACTCAGCTTTTTGGCCGGAGATTTCTGCAACAAACACACAACAATTCTAAATATGTTTCATCTGTTTCAGCGAGCACACACTTAAAAATTCAGTACAAGATTCAACGAAACACTAACTTATCACAATTCATGGACACTTGTATTTTTCTTTTGCCTTTGCCTACTTCTTCTGAGATAACACACTTCAGTGTGATTGGTTAAATTCAGCTGTCACTCACACACTGACCAATCAGAGGAGAGGATGGGAAAAACACTCTGTTTGAACAAAGAACTGTCATGACATGATATGAGCCAATAAGCTTTTTGGCCGATAAGCTCTTTAGATTTTTAGATTATTAGATTATTTTCTCCAAATTATATTGAATTTGCTACAAACTCAAACATAACCGTGTTTTACTACAACTGAATAAGAGCAAATGTGACCACACTGCAAAGAGGAGTCCTCTTTACAAATAAAGCTTTATGCATGTTCTTTAAGCAGCTAAATGTGATTGATTTATTGACAATGAAATTACATTGAGCACCTCCCTCTGGTGATCACAAACACAGACACAAACACAGACACAGACACAAACACAGACACAAACACAAACACAGACACAGACACAAACACAGACACAAACACAGACACAAACACAGACACAAACACAGACACAGACACAGACACAAACACAGACACAAACACAGACACAAACACAGACACAAACACACAGACACAAACACAGACACACACAGACACAGACACAGACACAGACACAGACACAAACACAGACACAACACACAGACACAAACACAGACACAAACACAGACACAAACACAGACACAAACACAGACACAACACAGACACAGACACAGACACAACACAGACACACACACACAGACACACACAGACACAGACACAACACACAGACACAAACACAGACACAAACACACAGACACAAACACAGACACAACACACACACAGACACAAACACAGACACAACACACACAGACACACACACAGACACAAACAGACACAAACACACACAAGACACAGACACAGACACAGACACACAGACACAGACACAAACCAGACACAAACACAGACACAAACACAGACACAACACACAGACACAAACACAGACACAAACACAGACACAAACACAGACACAAACACAGACACAAACACAGACACAAACAGACACAAACACAAGACACAAACACAAACACACAACACAGACACAAACACAGACACAACACAGACACAAACAACAGACACAAACACAAACACACAACACAGACACAACACAGACACAACACAGACACAAACACACAGACACAACACACAGACACAACACGACACAACACAGACACAAACACAGACACAAACACAGACACAACACACAGACACACAGACACAGACACAAACACACAGACACAAACACAGACACAGACACAAACACACAAACACAACACAGACACAAACAGACACAAACACAGACACAAACAGACACAACACAGACACAACACACACAACACAAACACAGACACAACACAGACACAAACACAAGACACAAACACAGACACAAACACACAAACACAGACACAACACACACAAACACAGACACAACACACACAACACAGACACAACACACAGACACAGACACACACAGACACAGACAAACACACACAGACACACACACACACAAACACAGACACAAACACAAACAGAGATACAGACACACACACAAACACAGACACAGACACAAACACAGACACGAACACAGACACACACACAAACACACACACAAACACAGACACAGACACAGACACAACACAGACACACACACAAACACAGACACAACACAGACACAGACACAAACACAGACACAAACACAGATATAGACACACACACACACACACACACAAACACAGACACAAACACAGACACAAACACAACACAGACACACACACAGATACAGACACACACACACACACAAACACAGACACAGACACAACACAACACAGACACAGACACAAACACAGACACAGACACAGACACAGACACAGACACAGACACAAACACAGACACAGACACAGACACACACAAGAGCGCACACAGGGAAGCCAAGACTCACTCCGCTACATATGAAGATACAACATCTATGGCAGAGCATTATTCAGCACACTGATGAAAACAGTGTTTTAGCCTTGCAGAGCATGTTATCATTGACCTGTACTGCCTCCCTCAGGGAGACAGGTGGAACAGCAGGTGGGCAGGTGCCATTGGTCTAAGACTAGTGCCTCTCAGCCTCTCCTGGGATTTTAAGGCCGATAATCAAAACATTAAAAATAAATATTGACTCGATTTATCGGCCAGCCCATATACTGATCTAATACTAACAAATCCATATATGGGCCTGTCTCTAGTTATACATGAAGAAACTTGATCAGAATAGCAGATAATTACAAGTATGAGATCTCAGTTAGACATTTATCACCATATCACCGAGTACTACTTAGAATAATGTTGTAAATCCTGAATGATCGTGTACCCATGAGGAGTGCTCCTTCATCTGGTGCTGGTTGGAGTGCGGTCCGTTGGCATGGCCCCTCCAGAAGCAGCTCTGGCACAGCTGGTACCCGTGGCACTGCTGGCACCGGTACCTGAAGCCCATCATGGACTCACTACGGCAGTAAGAGCACTCGACCGGGTGGAAGACTGAGACACAGGGACGAGAGTTTAGAGACATTTAATCCTCCCAAATACATCAAGCTAAAAAAGACATTTTTATATGGAAAGAAACAATAAAAAACTGAAATCTTTGTTTTAACAGTAAAGTTCAATGGGTCCTGTAGGGGCTGTGCATTTGTGTTATACATCATCTTATTGATTTGGATATGTTACGATCTACTGTTTGGTTGCTGATGATTTGCTATTATCATTTCTGTACTGCTATGTACCCCATGTATGAAAAGGAAAAAAAATAATAATAATACAAATTTGATCACAAAAAAAGAGTAAATTAAATAAAGAGAGAGGTTTATATATTGAACATATGAGACATTTGACCAGGTGGGAAACTGAGAAATAGGGACATAAGAGAATATTTAAATATATGATGCATTCATAGCATTCAATAGAGTAGAAGACTTGGCCTGGAATGTTCCACAGTGTGACATTAAACAGCTCTACTTTACATTTATTCAATTACAGGTGGTTTTATAGCTCAAAAACACTTAGAAAAACAGACATTCTGACTGTGACTGGGGTCACCTCTCCACAGATCTGACCTGTAACTTGGTCTAGTTTGGTCTCCATGAGAATAGAAAGGTTACACAATGCACCTTTAAATATATAATCAATATTAAAACATAGAACTCTTTCTAACCCTTTCTGTCTGGATTATGCTTCTGTAAATTCACCTCATGAAAACCGACGTGTTTCAGACGACAGAGAAACATTCTATTCAGAGCCACTAATACGGAACACAGATGGAGGGAGAGAAAGTTAATGTTGTTAATGTTGATTTTTGTATTTTTATAATATAAGAAGGTCTTGGGTCTAGACACTAAAAGAAATGATCAGACAGAATGTTTGTGAATTAGATTTTTTTGTGTGTATTTCATAGGAAAATGTAATGAACAGGTAAAAGTGTCTCCATCTGGGCAGTACGATACTTAATTTCATGTTGTTATTGTGACAAGTGAACTCTGATCATTTTCTTTGTGGATCAATAAAGTTTGTCTAAGTCTAAGTCTAAACAGTGCACAGTGGAAGATCTTCACGTACCATTTTCTACGTTGGCGAGTCTGTGCATGAGGGGGAGCCACACCAGACACTGAGGAGGAGGATCGGCCATGAGAACATCCAGAAACGTGTTCAGGACGATCTTCTTCTGAGGGACACACACAGAGATGAAGCACAGGGCCAGACCTCTAGTCTAATGTGAATGACACTGTGAGTGTGTTTACATGCACACATGAGTACACGGTGATGAGTCTTATTCCAGTTCTGACAGTATTCTGGTGTTTCCATGTGCTCAGAGAAACCAGGACATATCTCATATCTCTGTGTATATGTGAGGAATTAGAGTATCCTGGATATTTCAACTGGTTGCTATGGTAATGACAGATGTATGGTATGGCCATATCGGCTCAGTCAAAGCCTGATCCAGTCAGATCTCAGAAGGTCAGCAGGGCATGGCCTGGTCAGGACTTGGATGGGAGACACTGGTGATGCATTATAACTATGGCACAGATATGGCAAGGAGCTAAAACTGCAGCAACTTTACTAACTTAAGGTTTTTTTTAACAGGTTTTTAACAACAACAACATGTAGTTACAAACATTCAAGTAAGAACATGAGACTGTGGAGCTCTGTCACAGCTTCAGTAAAAGGTGTTTTTAAAAAATATGACAGAACTTCACAGAGTGAGTCTGACTCAAGAGCAACACAAACAGACACAGAGCTGAGCCTGGTCTTAAAATGTGGCTGTTTTAAACAGTAGACTGTTTTATTTTGTTTATAGGTAGAAAATATTATTATTTAAAAAGTCCGGGTAGGAGTTTGATTCAGTTTGGGAAAGTTGATGCTCGTACTGTTTTTGTTACTTGAGTTTGCACATGCTCAGTACAGGCCACAGTATCCTGGATACTCTCTGGTTTCATCACCAGGATCCTGGCAGATCCAAGAGACAGAAGTCAGGATACTTGTGTTTACATGGACACTCATAAAACCAGGATACTCAAAAAACCCGATCCGGGATCCTCGAGTGCATGTAAACACACTCTGTATGAGATTTCTGTGGAAAATTGTAGTTCATGTTTTGTTGTCACTGTTTTTGCAGTCTGCCTGTGATTTTAAGTTTTACTTCCTGTCTGTTGATTGTTTGACCATCCCTCATGTATTTTACCTGTGTCTCTTTCCTGTCTACATATTTACTCTTTATTTACTCTGCCCTTTTATGGTGTCTTGGCTTGTCAGTTTCTATTTTGGGATTTTTAGTCATTCTTTGCTATATTAACGGACTTTAATAACAATCCTGCATTTTGGTTCCTCCCTCTGTTTCATTGTGACAAGGGCCAAGTCCTAAACAGTTTCAGTTTCAAGTCCTTCTAAAGGTTTTTACTAAATGGCCAAATACAGTTTGTATTTTTGCAGTTTATATGATATTTTAAAAGGTCATTGTCACAAATAGAGAAATGGGAGGAACAAATTCCAGTCTGTTGTCCCAGGCCCCGGGGTCTTAGGCACCCAGAATCAGAACCTCTGCCTTTTAATTAATATTAGAGAGGGACTCATGTGAGTGTTCTTGCCCTGGGCCTTCAAATTCCATCGACAGCCCTGTTAACTAGATTATCAGAAGTATCAAAAATTGGATTCTAATCAATACTCAAACTGGTACTGAAACTAGATACTCATTTGAGCTGGTATCGATACTAAAAAAGTCCCATTGACAGGACAGAAATGAAGCTTTCCTGAATGTCTTTAGAATGATGTTGAGCTGTATGAGAACAAGCAGAAGGCACATAGACTAGTACACACATGGACCAACATGAACCTACTGCACCACTGACCATTACACACATGTAACACACATATATAACACACACATATAACACACACATATAAGGCGTTATGTTTTCTATGCACATTTTTATTTGAGCAGAAGCATCAAGTCGACTGAGGTCTCAAGGCTCCAGTCCTGAGTATTTTTAATCAAGTCAAAATAGTGACTCAGTTGTTGTCATTGCTACATAAAACTGCCTCTCACCTGTTGGGGGAAGCAGGTTCGGACAGCGTGCTCCGTGTAACCAAACGAAGGTCCCTCAAACACGGCCGTGGGCAGCTTCAGAACCTCCCGAAGAAACTGGTCAAACTTGGCAAAGACCATCACCCCACTGGAGTCTGAGATCTGAGAGAAGATGTCTGAAAGCAGAGGGCAGAGGGTTCAAGTCACTGAAAAGACCTGACAAAAAGACTGGCTCCACCTGACATCACAACACTGAAGAATCCCTATTGATACTTTGCAGTGGCATCACACTGGGGGTGTCCTGCATGTATCTCTATGGTGAAATGTTCAACAGTTACCATGGACTTTTTAGACTGCACTAGTGATGGGCAAATGAGATGGAGCTCCGGAGCACGTCTCGTTCTTTCTGAAACAAATGCTCGTCTCGTAGCAGCCGCTCACGTGACCAAAGTGTGGAAGTGTCGGTCCCTCCCCCTACTGCTTCACTCTGCGTGTCAATCACTTCAGTGTATCGAAGCATTTCATTGGCTCAGCGAATGTTCTGCTCTGGGATTGGTTCAGAGTGTTTCAGAGTGTTCAGCGCACTTCTGTGGTTTGACAAGTGACAGTATAAAAGATGCACCAATATTTCTTAAACATGTTGGGTAGTGAGTATTGTGTGACGTTAGTGGTGATTTTAGTGACTTTTGGCATTTGTTTCATTTTCGATGGCATCTACAAGTGGACAAAAGTGATCCATGGTTTGGGATCACTTTGATCTAATTCCACCTAAGAAGGTAACACCTATTTTCTTATTTACAGCATGTTATTTATGTTGCTCTTTACATATTATTTTAAATCATCATTATTATTGTTGTTGTTAGGTACGGTGTCTGCTCTGCACACAAGTATTGTCTTACACTAACAATACTTCATCAATGCTGAGACCTCTAGTGGACTCTTTGTCCACTAGAGGTCAGTGTTTCTCCGAGGCCTCAGACACGTCGAACCATTTGAGACAATATTACGACTGAGGTGTCAACGCTTCAGGAGGCTCCATTCGCCCATCACTAGAGAAAAAAACATTAAGTTTTTTAATTTGTCTGAAAACTCAAGACGAGCAAAGAAAGAGACTACATTTGAAGAAGAGTCTGTGGTCGTTATGAGGCATCTGGTTTTGAAAAGAGCTTCAGACAGAGCGGTGCCTCCAGTTAGCTTCACAAACAGATGGAGACAGGTAAGAACTCTCAGGTGGAGTTTGCTGTGGAACTGTCAGATGCAGATTTGTTGACCTGGTTTGTGGTTCATATCTCTGTATTTACTGAACCTGAAATTATCACTCTTCAAAATCCCCCATAAACTTACAAAGGCCCCTGTCCTCCCACTGAAAACACGACAACAAATTCTAGAACGTGAAACCAACCTGTCGTTTGAATATCACGCATTTACTTAATACAAGGGGAGAAAATCCAAATCCACTTTATTTCTACAGCACATTTTACAAGGGCTGCACAGAGATCATAAAATGAAGACAACAAAAAGACAAAAAAACTGTAAAAGTAAAATAAAAGCATCACTATAAAAATCATTAAATAGCAATAAATAAGTTAAATAAATATAATAAATAAAAGACCACACAACTCATGCGGAGCCAGGGAATAAAAGTGGGTCTTAAAACAAGACTTAAATCGTGTTCCAGAGTTTGGGGTTGGGCACACAGAAGGTCCTGTCCTCCTGGTTTTAATGCTCGTCTTAGTCACCACGAGCTGGAACTGGACCTCAGATTGTTCATCATTTCAACATTTATTTCAGTATTTAGTTTCAAATCTTTAGACAGGCTTATGAATAAGAGTGAGGGCTAACGCTGCCATCTAGTGTTTGTATTGAGAAACTACAATAGCAAACCAGCAGGTAGTCAGTATTATGTTGAAAAAGAGTTTGTTCATTTTTCTTATAGCTCACACTTATATGTAGGGTTACAGTAAAAATTTGATCACAATTGAATCAAAATTGCAATTTAAATGGGCGCAATTAGCAAATCTCGAAGACAAACATAGTGCCATAATTTTCTCCCCAAACAAGAAAATCTGATGTCTGATTCTGCATAAAAACTGTGAACCCTGTAGTTAAGATCTGCACAAACATGTTCTGAAATGTCCCCGTGTGTCAGATGCCCTCCCCGTGTGTCAGATGCCCTCCCCGTGTGTCAGATGCCCTCCCCGTGTGTCAGATGCCCTCTCTGTGTGTCAGATGCCCTCCCCGTGTGTCAGATGCCCTCTCTGTGTGTCAGATGCCCTCCCCGTGTGTCAGATGCCCTCCCCGTGTGTCAGATGCCCTCCCCGTGTGTCAGATGCCCTCCCCGTGTGTCAGATGCCCTCCCCGTGTGTCAGATGCCCTCCTTGTGTCTCCATGGGGTCTTACTCTGCCTGCTTGGATTTTCCTTTTGGATATTTTGTGATCAAAAGTTGTATTAATTAGAAATATTTTGACCTGTCCCATGTCAGATAAAGTCATCCTCACAGTTATGAAAACTGCACCACACACAGACACATAGACACACACACACACACACACACACACACAATGGGCTGCTACTACCACCTGGTGTTGACTTTGAGGAACTACAACAACAAAAGCAGCTGAGGATTTTGTTACTTGGTAGAAACCCAGAGACTTAAAGGTGCAATGTGTAACTTTTTAGTTGGGGGTCCATCACCTGTTTGTTTCTATGGAGATGCCATTGCTCTGCCTGGAATGTTCCACAGTGTGACATTAAACAGCTCTACTTTACATTGATTCAATTACAGGTGGTTTTATATGTCAAAAATACCAAGAAAAACAGACATTGTGTGTGAGCGGAGTCGCCTCTCCACAGATCTGACCTGTAACTTGGTCTGGTTTGGTCTCCATGAAGATAGAAAGGTTTAGTGCCATACTGTGAAACATTCCAGACAGAGCAACAACATGTCCATGGAGAAAAGTGTTTAACCCACGATTTACACCAAAGTTTAACACAGCACATGAGCACGAATGACTTTCCATTTTAACTGGTCGGACAGTCTACTCCAGCAGAGTTCTAAAATCTGTGTTTCACTCGTTTATTTGTTTTTCAAAATAACACCAAAAATAAGAAAATGAAAAAACAATTATTTTCTTTCATTATTTATCTCCAAAACCAAAATGAAAAATGCATAACAGTTTCCCGTTTCATCCAGTTTTGACCCTTACGGACTGAACCACGACTGAACCAAGACTGAACCATGACTGAACCAAGACTGAACCATGACTGAACCAAGACTCAGTGTCAGGATGGGCCGGAGGTGCACCACAGACTGTCGGGTGACCTAAGGTGGAAGGACATGAGCTCTGTGCCCAACGGGTTATGTGTAGCCATCGCCTGATCACACTTTGCAGCTACCCTGCTCCATGGACTCGGGGCTCTCTCTCTCAAGTTCAAGATTAGTTCTGGTTTAGACCTGCTTTAGATCTAGTTTAGACCTGGTTTAGTCCTGATTCAGTCCTGGTTCAGTCAGCTTTTCCATTATTCATTTAAACACAAAATTGAAAACTGAAAAAAATCATATTTTTTTTCATTTTTTTGGAGACAAATAATGAAGTAAATTGTTGGGTTTTTTTTTCTTATGTTTGGTTTTATTTTGAAAAACAAATGAACGAATGATACATGGATTTTCTCATTTTGCAGCGTCAGAGCGTCTCCAAACTTTTTAGCAGGGGAATGACTCGTGATGGACACGGAAAGTTTACAGCTGCAGAGGATAAATATAAAACACTTTATGACATCAGACACAAACTTTACAAGAACAACTTGTGAGTTAGCCAAGCAGCTCAGCTGATGTTACGTGCCACTGACGCTCCTGGTGTAAATTCCAGGTAACGGACCCTCCACCAGAAAAGTTACACAGTGCATCTTTAAAGCAGAACACATTTTAAATCTCCAGGAAAAATAAAACATCACTCACAGCGCAGTTTGTCCACGATCTTCCCTCCGCACATGGTAGCCAGCATACACTTCATGGAGAAAACGGTCAGCTTCCCGTGACTCTCACTGCAAACAAAACAACAAATGAGGATTTAGTCAAAGGCTCATATGGTTCTAGTGTTGTCACCATAGTGAAAGATCAAACTCAACTTCAATAGTAAGGAACAGACTCGATACTCAATACTGATTCTAATACTGAATACACGATGAGAATAAAAACTCTCTTTTTTTAGACAGTATAATGTTATTTTCCACATTAAATAGCAGTACTTTCTTTTCTATTCCTGTGTCCTCTTCTATCATTAAACTCTAATCAGATCTGAAGCTGACCCCAAGATGCGTCGTGTTGTTTTCAGTGGCCTGTGTTCACTGGCTCATGGGCTCAAAAATAATTTTCTTTTCCACATTTACTTCCTCAGTTTGGGCGAGCTCCTCCCACCCATGTGACGTCTGTAATGTGCTCGGCGTGGAGCGTTTGGCGAGGCTCAGTCTGACAAAGGTCATTTTTAGGTTAGGGTGACCAAAATTTCAAAATAAAAAACTGGGACATCCTCGTTTTTTTGGTGGTTGCTCATAACAAAATTCTGAAACGAGTGCGACATTAAGAAAAACTGTTACACAGAACCATTCATGACTATGTGAACCACTATAGTCACATTTTCTTTGTGTTTTGGTCATTTTTAGGCAGATTTTTTTGTATTTTACCTCAACAAAAGACAATCTGTGTCTCTCTTTACTGCTGACAAGGATCAGACTGGTCAAAAATAGAGACACGTGGGACATTTCTTATAAAGTATAGTATAAAAGTGGGACAAATCAGTGGTTTTGTATAAATCTGCTAGGACAGGGACACAGGCTCAAAACTGGGACTGTCCCGGGGAAAGAGGGACGTCTGGACACACTATTTTAGTCACTTTGAGGATTTAAGTTTATGTTGTGAAAATAGAAAAGAATCCAACAAAATCTGACCCTTGTGAAAGCCGGATGCCCTGTCAGAACACAGGCAGTTTGAATTCCCAAAATGCATCTCGCTCTGCTTGTGTACAAGTCTCTCCATGGCCAAGCACCAAAGTCCATCTGTGACATGATAGTTCCACATGAACCAAGTCACACTCTGAGGAGCTCAGGGACCGGCCTCCTGCTGCTGCCCAGAGTCACGACTAAACAAGAGGAGTCAGAGTTTCAGGTTCACACCGTTAAAACCCAAAATATGCTACACAGGTCTCCAGAACAGTTGAGAGTCAAGGTCAGTTAAATAAATAAATAAATTAAATTAATTAAATTAAAACCTGGAACAGTCTTCCTGAACATGAGACAGACTGAGACAGACTCTTCTTTGACACTGTTTAAATCCAGGCTCAAAACATTTCTGTTTCACTGTGCAAATAACTGAAAGGTTTTCATTCCACACTCTTCTCTCTAATTTATGTTTCTCTTTTTAAATTTTAATCTTTATGATTATTTATGTTTTCATTTGTTTTTATTGTGATTTTTAATGTATTTCTTATTCTGTAAAGCACTTTGAATTACTTTGTGTATGAATTGTGCTCTACAAATAAACTTGCCTTGCCTCTGTGGGAGAATTCTTTCTGGGCCCAAACTCCCAGAGCTGCAGTACCTGGAGCGACCACTAGTCTGTCTGGAGCCGGGACACAGGGGGAGGGGCTTATCCAGTTTTTAATGTAGATTGATGTGGTTGTATATGTGTGTAATGGTCAGTGGTGCAGTAGGTTCATAGTGTGTGCTCAGTGTGTGTGCTCAGTGTGTGTGCTCAGTGTGTGTGCTCAGTGTGTGTGCTCAGTGTGTGTGCTCAGTGTGTGTGCTCAGTGTGTGTGCTCAGTGTGTGTACTCGTCTGTGTGCTCTTCTACTTCTCATACAGACTGTTTTTTAGCATCGATAAATAATCTCTTTGTAATTTAAAATGAATGACACTTTAATGTTGGTTTTACTAAACTTGTGTGACTCTCGGGGCCTTTTCCATCTGCACAGTCTGTGCCACAAAATCAACTGACACACTCAGAACAGGTTTGTGCTGACCCGGAAAAAACACTCTCTCACCCGCTCTTCTAACACTCTTCTACCTCCTCTTCCTCTGTCTCTCTTTCTCTTTTCCTCTTTCTCCTCTCATGTCCTGTTCTCTCTCTCTCTCTCTGTCTCTCTATCACTCTTTCTCCTTTCCTCTCTCTCTTCTCATATCATGTTGTCTCTTCCTCTTTCTCCCTCTCTTTCTCTCTCTTCTTCCTCTCTCTCCTCTTGTATCCTGTTCTCTCTCTCTCTCTCTCTCTCTCTCTCTCTCTCTCCTTTCCCATGCACAGGCTCTCACTCTTCCTCTCTCTGCTCTCACATCTTGTTCTGTCTCTCCCTCTCTCTCCTTTTTCCTCTATCCCTCTTTCTCCTTTCCTCTCTCTCCTCTCATATCCTGTTCTGTCTCTTCCTCTCTCTCCCTCTTTTTCTCTCTTCTTCCTCTCTCTCTTCTCATATCCTCTTGTCTCTTCCTCTGTTTCCCTCTTTTTCTCTTCCTTCTTCCTCTTTCTCCTCTAATATCCTGTTCTGTCTCTTCCTCTCTCTACTCTCTCTCTCTCCTACCCCCCTCCCACTTCCTCCCTCTCTCTCCCCCTCTCTCTCCTCCCTCTCTCCTTCTCTCCTCTCTTGTCTCTCTCCCCCCTTCCTTCCTCCCTCTCTCCCCTCTCTCTCTCCCTCTCTCCTCCTCGCTCTCACCTCCTCTTTCCTCTCTCTCTCTCTCTCTCTCTCCCTCCTCCCGGTGTCTCTGTCCATTCGTTTCCGAGCAGAGGGCATTACAGTGTGAGTCTAATTGAGTTTGGAGCAGAGGGACAGAGGAGAACTTCCTGTGACGGACGCTTGTCTACATCAGTCCATAAAAACAACACCAACAGTGTTCCTCAACTCAACACTCTCATTATTACACCGGACATTTAAAGGGCCCCTACTACACTACTGTAATAATGTGGGAATGAAAAACACAACTGCAGATTTGTTTTTGAGGAGGGAGCAGCATAACAATACGACTATAAGCTGCAGGCTGCAGGTGTTTGTGTGATACACGAGCTTTAAATGGAAAGATGTGAATGATGTTTTAGAGTCATGGATTTGTAACGTGTCATGTACTCTTTAATATTATACTCTTTAATATGACACGTTTGTGAACCCAGTCCTAAACAAATAAGGCTCTGCTTCAGTATTTGTAGGTCAGAAGTTTGTTTATTTGATTCAAAATCTCCCAGAATTCTACTGGTCCCTCCAGCTCAGTGCTAGCCAATCAAATCACAGCAACTCAGCCAATCAATGAGTGGTTTTACAATAATAAAGAAGTGATTGGGTTAGTGGAGCAGACAGGTGCAGACAGGAGCAGACAGGTGCAGACAGGTGCAGACATCAGAACTCTAATCAAATCTGAAGCTGAACTCAAGATGTGTCGTGTAGTTTTCAGTGCTCTGTGTTCATTGGCTCATGGGTGCTAACATAATTTTCTTTTCTGCATTTACTTCCCCAGTCTGGGTTAGCTCCTCCCACCTGTGTGACGTCTGTAACGTGCACGGCGTGGAGAGTTTGGACCAATCAGAGTGAGAGCTGCTGGAGCAGAGCGAGTGTGGCTCAGAGTGCCGAGGCTCAGTCTGACAAAGATCAGTTTAGGAGGCACGAGGATTTAAACTTAAAAAAAGTACGAGATGGTGACAAATCTCAAGGGGCTTATCCTCCAACAAATAAATTCAAATTCAAAAAATGTATGTTGTGAAAATAGAAAAGAATCTCTACAAAATCGGACCTTTGTGAAGCTGGACGCCCTGAAGAACACAGAGCACAATTCCCCAAATGCATTTCACTCTGTGGGAGAATTCTTTCTCGGCCTAAACTCCCAGAGCTGCAGTACCTGGAGCGACCACTAGTCTGTCTGGAGCCGGGACACGGGGGAGGGGCTTATCCAGTTTTTATTCTAGATCCATGTTTGACCTTTATTTACAGTACAGCTGCTAGGCAACATGCCTCACCAAAATTATAAAACTAGAAAAGACTTGGCAAGATTTTTTTTAAATATATAAAATCTTAAATATAATGATGTTGAGTGTGTTTTAGAGAAACAGTCCAATCTGTCATGTGTCATCTCAGGTTGTGTCCAAATGTCCACCTTCGTCCTCGTCCCTAAGTCCTCTACACTACAGACGCCTGGACTCCACAGAGAGATTCAGACTCAGCTCACAACAGCTGAAGTCATGTGACTCTGGCTCAGAGTGAAAAAAAATCTAAAGACCAAACTGTGATAAAACTTGATTTGTGACATAAATCACAGTTAAATCAGATGTGATTATTTATGCACTAATAATAATGATACAGATGGATCTCACATAAACAGACTGGAGTATTTGCTTTTTGTCTGAGATGTGGAAATGATTCTTCATTCACAAGTGTCTCTGTCCACTGGGGTTTGTTTGACTCTGGTCTATATTCACAAGTCCAGTGCTGGACACTACTTCTCAAGGTGCATTGTGGGGGATTCTGAGTGTTTTCCCCTCAGTCCATTCTTACCTGTCGTAAGTTGCCACCATGAAGTTGAGCAGGAGCCCGATGCTCTGCTCCACACTGATCTGGTGGGTGGTGGGGAGACGTTTGTTCAGTTGGAAGTAAATGGAGGACAGGATGGTCTCCAGACGGGACACGTTTATCTCAGCGTTATGATCCAGAGTGTTCAGACCGTTATCACGAAACGCTTCAATCATGTTCCACACGTCCACCAGGTGAACTGAAGAGAGACATAGAGTTAGACCGGGGTTAGACTGGGGTTAGACTAGGGTTAGACCGGGTGTAGACTGGGTGTAAACCAGGGTTATACCATGGAAGCAGTGAAGAAGTGGATTAAGGTCCAGCGTTCAGCTCATCTCAAATGAAGCTCACGATGCTCGGCCGTTATAAGGGCCAATTTGGAGCCAGGTTCATATTTGGAATAGGAATTTATTCATGGACAAGAAAGGAAAATAAAAACCCCAGGATCATGTGGAGCAGATCAATATGAACATTTAAGACCAAATTGACGAGGCTCACAGCAGCAGGTACAGAGACAGAGGGCAGTATTTAAGTCAACCGGTATAGACCTGGGTTAGAGCTGGTTAACTAGGAGATAGGGGGTCAGACCTGGTTTAGACCAGGTTTAGTCTTAGTTTAATCCTGGATTAGACCTGGATCAAGTAAAATCCCTTCTTAGTGATGGTTTGGTCTGGATTAGGACCTAGTTCAGTCCTGGTTCAGGCCCAGTGCAGTGGCAGAGGTCTGAACTAGTCTGAGTTAGGACACACTCTGGGTTAAACCGTCAGGAGCAGTGGGACCATCTCCAGATCTTGACCTGGTCTTGGTCAGAACTACCTCAGATGGTTTTCTTTTGGGTACAGTTCTTGTTTAGACCAAGTTTGTCCAGAGACGTCAAAGTTAAGACTTTCAACTTATATGTTATTTCTTCAGTGCAGTAAGACACACATATATTTGTGAAATATTTGTCATAAATAAAATGTTATATTATTTTATGCTGAGAGTCATTTCCAAACACATATACTGAGGTTCTTACGGTTGCATCTTTTCTGCACAAAGCGCAGTTTGCAGGCCGTCCTGTAGGTGGACAACCGGATCACGTCAAAGTTCTGGGCCCCTGAAGAAGAAACACACAAAAACAATTTATCAACACTTTCGATGAACAGATGAGTGACAGATTGTTACAGTACTGTTCAATTTAACAAGAATAAAACACAGCCCAAACCCAAACTGACTCCACTCACTCATCTCCATAAACAGCTGTCTCTTCTCCACTAGCGCCTTTCCACGTTTACTGCCTTCTTCAATCATCCTGAAACAAACACAGACAAACACAAACACGAGAGTTTAAATCTCCAACATGACACAAAAGTGACTCCTGTGAGTTTTAAGTCCTGTTATAACACTGCTCCCTCCTCAAAAACACACCTGGACTTGTGTTTTGTTTCATTCACATGTTTGAGTAACTCTGCATTATTAATCTGTCTACATCTCCAAAGCTCAAAATGCTCTATTCCCCCTTGTGATGTCATGAAGTGGTAGTTTTCAGCTCATGAACAGCTCCTTTTACCTTTAGTTCAGGAGAGATCAGTAACTCCAGGACTGAAATCATCCAAGTGATTCTAGTGAAGATGTGGAGTTTTAATATCACATAACATCACAAGGTGGAACAGAGTGTTTTCAGTTTGAGAGAAGAACTCAGCCTAAATGTGCAGGATTTGTGAGTTAAACTTGTGTGAATGAAACAAAACACAAGTCCAGGTGTGTTTGTGACGAGGAGAGGACATTAGAAGAGAGATCAGTAGAGTGTAGTGTTCAACAGAGCAGTGCAGTGTCAGTCTGGGGAAATATACCAATATACTGTGTCTAGTTTTTATAGTTTAAATGTACTTTTTATTTTGAGCTCTCCTCAGTTGGTCTTTAAAGAGGCAGTTTGTAACTTTTCTAGTGTCAGGAGATGGACGTGAAGGTGATGATGTTGTGGTTTTGCCTGGAGTCAGAGACAAAGTCAAAGTGAACTTTACTGTCAGTTCCACAAGAGGATCTCATTTACGATTTCCCCACAACTCCAAATGTGCAATTAAAAACTAAACACACACACACACATAGACAGGAAATGTACATAGACATCAATAATAAATACAATCAACACAATATACAGACAGACAGACCAGGACATTTACATTTCCACAAAAAAAGAATGAAGTATTTTTGGAATGATCCACATTATATTCTCTATTAAACCATTATATTCTCTATTAAATAAAATACACCAAACTTTACATTCCAGGTAAAGCAATAAAATCACCATGGAAACAAATCTGTCTATAGCAGAGGTCGGCAACCCGCGGCTCCGGAGCCGCATGCGGCTCTTTAGCACTCCGCTAGTGGCTCCCTGGAGCTTTTTCAAAAATGAGTGAAAATGGAAAAGGAATGATTTTTTTGGTTGTAGTTTTAATCTGGTTTCTTTAGGGGTAAAACTCTCGTTCATCTCTGGTCATGGATCTGATCCATCAGCTGTGTGCAAATGCAAACATAACAAAACACATGAAAAGTGTTTCAGCAGAACAAACAGATGAGCTGAAGTGGGGGGTGGTGTCCGGTGCTTCCACCTGAGAAGCGCTTTCCCAGAAAAAAAAAAAAAAAAAAAAAAAAACACGTGCGCAGACGGACGCTCAGAACAACATATAACAAACCAAACTGGATTCACACTTCTGTCTGGATGCTTTGCACCACCTCAGAACCAGCCGCGGTCGAGCGCGGAGGACCGGAGCAGCCCGGACCTGTGGTTCACAGAACATTCTCGCTTTTCCCGCACGGAACCAGCGCACAGATGACTGCACTGAAGCACTCGGACCCAGTCCTTTGCGCGCTGGTCTTGCTCGCCCCCGTCTGGAACCAGGACACGGAGGACGAAGCCTCCGGACAATCTGACCAACTCTGGACCCACAGCCCCGTCTTGAGGGGCTGCGCGCTGACTGCTCCTGTGTGTTTGACGCTGCTGCCCGAGCTCAGAGCTTCTGCTCCGGGTTTATTTTATGAGTGCTCCTATGCACGATCAGAAGAAATGCGACTGCTGCTCTGAATACTTCCATCATCATCGTCAAAGCAACAGGTAAACGTCGGTCGCACTTTCAGCGCGTCAGCTCCTAAAACTCCGTTTATCTCAGTTTAGATGCAAACGTGAAACCAGAGTTTTCCAAAATCTCCACTTAGCCGGAGTTTTTAGAAAGATTCATTTTCAGAGGCGAATTAACGTGTAAACGATGTGTTCAAACTCAGGCAAATGTCTCAATTTAAAAAAATACCCGTGTACGTGTAAACGGGGCCTAAATGACAATGGAATAAACACTAACCACCTGATTTTAGTGGCTACAGACGGCGCACCGAGTATGAGAGGGTCACAAAAGAGGTTTGTGTATCATGAATGCTCATTTTGTATTTGTAGCCGACTTAGTCATTTTAATAGTCGGCTTATACAGCTAATATACTGACAGCCTATGTTGCCTTCATATTAGGCTTATATAAGACTTTTAATTTTTTGCGGCTCCAGGCAGGTGTGGTTTTTGTTTTTTTGGGCCAATATGGCTTTTTGAACATTTTGGGTTGCCGACCCCTGGCCTATATGTAAGTGTTCTGGTGAAGGGTCCGCCACCGATATATCGATATAAGTGGACATTAGTTTTGTTTGAACATTTTAGTCCAAAGAGAGAACTACTGCAAAAATGTGACTGCACTGGACTCGACACAATTTATAGTAAAAGAAGGTTGTGGATAAGTTATATTTTAATTTGATAATTTGGGAAATAAAACCTAAATGGGCTCTACATAACAGTCCAAAAATATCAGTGGATTCTAAACATCAGTATCAGTATTGTATCAGCCAAATGAATATTGTTCGATCTGTATTTAGACAGTGCATCTTGAAGTTTTATAGTGAAACAGAACTCAGCTCAGGAACATTTGGAAAAGGAATCAACATTCAAACATGACTGAAGCTCCACTTCTCTTCTCGTGTCGTAATATCAGGTGTTTCTAGTAAAAGTACGATCTCTCTCACTGCTCTGCTCCCCCAACAGACTCACGACTCCAACTCGTCTCGCCCCACGCGCCCGTCTCGCCCCACGCGCCCGTCTCGCCCCACGCGCCCGTCTCGCCCCACATACTTTTCTTCACTTTTCCCAAAGTTTGAGACTCACCTGACGGCGTCTGGACGTCACTCAGAGCGAGAGCCGACACTAAACTGTGAAAGACAAGAAAAGAAAAGAAGAGGACAGGATGAGAAAAGAAAAGCATGTTTTTCAGTTCCGATAACGATATTGATACTGTTGCTTTAAGTATCTGTGAATTCCTGATATTAACCGATACCAGTGCAGGGACAGTTACATGACTACAAAAGAGTCCAACAGAATATCAACCGATATCCACTCGACCGATACTGCCTGAACCGATACTACTTGTTTTTTCTGGAACGATACTCGATATCAATATCAGTATCAATGCATCCCTAAAGAAGAGGACAGAATGAGAAAGAAAAAAACAGAAGACAGGATGAGAAAGAGAAGGAAAGAGGTCAAGAAAAAGAGAGAAGACGACAGACTGCAAGAGAAAAAGAGAAAGAAGAGGACAGGATGAGAAAGAGAGAGAAGGAGAAAGCAAAGGATGAGAGAGAAGAAGAGGACAAGAAGAGAAAGAGGAGAAGAAGAGAACAGACTGATAAATGGAAAGAGAGAAAGAGGACAGTCTGAAGAAGAGAAAACAGAGGCCACACAGAAAGAGAAGAGGACAGACTGAGAAGGAGAAAGCAGAGGACAAGATGAGAGAGAGAAAGAAGAGGACAGGATAAGAAAAAGAAGGAGCAGAGGACAGGCTGAGAAAGAAAAGAGAAGAAGCTGAGAAAGAGAGAAGAGCAGAGACTGCGAGAGAGAAAGAGAAAGAAGAGGGCAGGATTAGAAAGAGAGAGAGAGAGAGCAGAGGACAAGATAGCAGAGAAAAAGAAGAGAACAGACTGAGAAAGAGCAGAGGACAGGATGAGAAAAAGACAGACTGAGAGAGAGAGAGCAGAGGATGAGAAAGAGAAGACCGTCTGAGAGAGAGAGAGACAGATAAAGAGAGGATAGAGAGAGAGTAAGAGAAAGAGAGGTCAGAGAGAGAGTAAGAGAGGACAGAGTAAAAGAGGACAGAGAGAGAGAGAGAGAGAGAGATAACGAGAGGACAGAGAGAGAGAGAGAGAGAGGACAGAGAGAGAGTAAGAGAGGACAGAGAGAGAGAGAGAGAGAACAGAGAGAGAGATAAAGAGAGGACAGAGAGAGAGTAAGAGAGGACAGAGTAAAAGAGGACAGAGAGAGAGAGAGAGAGAGAGATAACGAGAGGACAGAGAGAGAGAGTAAGAGAGGACAGAGAGAGAGTAAGAGAGGACAGAGAGAGAGAGAGAGAGAACAGAGAGAGAGATAAAGAGAGGACAGAGAGAGAGAGTAAGAGAGGACAGAGAGAGAGAGAGAGAGAACAGAGAGAGAGATAAAGAGAGGACAGAGAGAGAGAAAGAGAGAGAGTAAGAGAGGACAGACTAAGAGAGGACAGAGAGAGAGAACAGAGAGAGAGATAAAGAGAGGCCAGAGAGAGAGTAAGAGAGGACAGAGAGAGAGAAGAGAGGAGAGAGAGAGACAGAGAAGAGAGAGAGAGAGAGAGAGAGAGAGAGAGAGAGAGAGAGAGAGAGAGAGATAAAGAGAGGACAGAGAGAGAGAGTAAGAGAGGACAGAGAAAGAGAGAGACAGAGAGAGAGAGAGAGAGAGAGAAGAGAGGACAGAGAGAGACAGAGAGAGAGAGTAAGAGAGGACAGAGAGAGAGAAAGAGAGGACAGAGAGAGAGAGAGAGAGAACAGAGAGAGAGAGAGAAAGAGAGGACAGAGAGAGAGTAGAGAGGACAGAGTAAAAGAGGACAGAGAGAGAGAGAAAGAGAACAGAGAGAGAGATAAAGAAAGGACAGAGAGAGAGAGAGAGAACAGAGAGAGAGAGAAAGAGAGGACAGAGAGAGAGTAAGAGAGGACAGAGTAAAAGAGGACAGAGAGAGAGAGAAGAGAGAGAGAGATAAAGAGAGGACAGAGAGAGAGAACAGAGAGAGAGTAAGGGAGGACAGAGAGAGAGAGAGAGAGTAAGAGAGTAAGAGAGGACAGAGAGAGAGAAAGAGAGAACAGAGAGAGAGATAAAGAGAGGACAGAGAGAGAGTAAGAGAGAGAGAGTAAAAGAGGACAGAGAGAGAGAGAGAGAGAGAAGAGAGAGAGAGATAAAGAGAGGACAGAGAGAGAGTAAGAGAGAGAGTAAGAGAGGACAGAGAGAGAGAGAGAGAGAGAGAGAGAAGAGAGAGAACAGAGAGAGAGATAAAGAGAGGACAGAGAGAGAGTAAGAGAGAAAGAGAGGACAGAGAGGAGAAGGAGAAAGAGAGGAGAGGACAGAGAGAGAGAGTGAAGGAGGACAGAGAGAGAGAGAGAGAGAGAGAGAGAGAGAGAGAAGAGAGAGAGAGAGAGAGGACAGAGAGAGAGAGAGAGAGAGAAAGAGAGGAGAGGACAGAGAGAGAGAGTAAAGGAGGACAGAGAAAGAGAGAGAGAGAGAGAGAGAGAGAGAGAGAGAAGAGAGAGAGAGAAAGAGAGGACAGAGAGAGGAGAGGGAGAAAGAGAGGAGAGGACAGAGAGAGAGAGAGAGAGAGAGAGAGAGACAGAGAGAGAGAGAGAAAGAGAGAAGGAAGAGAGAGAGAGTAAAGGAGGACAGAGAAAGAGAGTAGCGGAGGATAGAAAGAGGAGATAGGTTTGACAACAACATTAAGCACTCAGATAAGGTTTAGTGGGTGACACAGAGCAGACTTTTAAATGAGGCATTAGCACTTTGTCCGTGTGGCTCCAAGGACACAATTTCTCTCCTCAGACACACACAGGTACAAACATGAGACTAAACACGTCTTTAAGAAGAGTTCAAGAGGAATCTGGGGTCAAAATGCTGCTTTAGTCGGGGTCATGTGTGAAGTTTGAGGTTCTGGTGAGTCCAGTATTGAAGTCTGCTGTGAAGGGCCCAGATCACACTGTCCTCATCTATGTTCTAAAGTGGTTTCTTTATTATTAGTCTGTCTCATCCAGATTTACTCTCCTGTGCTCTGAGGTCTGAGGTCCAGCTCGTGAGGCCTAAGATGAGACTTAAAACCAGGAGGACAGGACCTTCTCTGTGACCGACTCCAAACTCTGGAACACTCTGCCCCCCCACATCCCAGCAGCCCCACAGAGGAGAGTTTAAGTCTCGTCTTAACACCCACTTTTTACTCTCTGGCTTTTAACACCGTGTGAGTCGTGTGGTTCTCTGTGTCTTTTATTTATTTTATTTATTTTACTGTTATACGGTTCTTTATTCAGACCAGGGCCTGTTCACACGAGAACACTTGTGGATAAAAAACACAAAATATTTTATGGGAAGTGTCTTTCATTTAGACGGTGACGGCGTTTTGGGGCTTAAAAACACAAAACTCTGAAACCATCCTGCAGAGTGTAAAAGTTGAAGAGGCGAGTTTCAGCTGACGTCATTGTTATTAAAAGCCCGCGTTGCTGCTGGGAAATATTTTGGTCGGAGGCAAGAAACACGGTAGCGTCAAACACAGTGTGTAACCTCGCGTATTTCTCCCTGATAATGGTAAATTCCTGCTGCATTATCGGACGCACAAATAGAAGCACGGAAGAAGGAAAATGTTTTTTTTTTCGTATTCTGAGTGAAAAGAACTGCTAACGGTGAATTAAACGACTTTCAAACATCCGCAGAGCAAATGTAGAAGATCCTAACAAACCGTGGACTCCAACAAGTTCAACAACACATCGAGACTCTTGGAGGTTTGCATCTTTTCTGCTGTGAATGGCCCAGGAGTTTCCACCAAGTCATTGTGGATATCACCAAAGTGAATATTTGTCCAGGTAGTTGGTGATTCAGACCAGAAATTTGGTTTGGTCCACCTTTTGTCGGGGTTGAAAAGGGTGATTTGGCGTCTGTCGATACTTATGACCAATTTCTGGTCAAATGGTCTTGGGTCCTCTGCCGTTAGAGTGGATAAATAACCAGGATCAATACACTTTACGTGCTTTCTCGCTCTGTCCATCATGTTGAATTAGTGTTTCTTGCTGCCGACCAAAATAATTCCCAGCATGCAACGCGCACTTTTGTCAACAATGAAACTCGCCTATAGGCTCCGTCGTAGTGTTTCCGTCTACACGGCCCAAGACACAAAACTCTGGTCAGATGTGCTCAGGTCACACGTGTCTACGTCACATACAGGACACACAAACTTGACATGCACACACTGTCCAATTTCACACACTTTTGCATCACCGTCTGCAGCAGATTTCCTCCTGAAAACACTCGTCTAAACGCAGAATAAAAAGTGAAGACACAACATCACTTTTGCATCTTCTGTCAGACGTCATCATGTAAACGTAAACTAAGAGTTTGTTTTCATCCCTGACAGTTTGTTCTGCTCCTGTGCTCTTCCTCAAAGTCTCGTGATGTTGCTGTTTTGTGTCGCTCAGATGATTTAAACAGGTTTTGGTGCTGTCTTCCTCTCGGTGGAGGCAGGACGACAGCGCCACCTGCAGTCTCAATTCCTCAGGACAGAATCCCAGGTGTGTGAGAGGAAAAAATCCCCCTTGTCCTGGTTTATTGTCTCATGGGCACGTTCCGGTAGAAAAACAGTGACAAAACTTGTTTATATCATCTGATCCACATGTCACAGAAACATCATGAGACTCTGAGGAAGAGCGGAGAAGAAAAAACAAACTTCAGGGATGAAAACAACAACTCTTGGTCTGAAAAATAAATTATCAGAAGACCAAATGAACCTCATTGGACCTTTATTTCTTTTACTTATTTTGTGTGATTTTATGATTTTTCCAGTTTGATTTGATCTGTCTGGTTGGATCGTTTGAGGACTGCTGGGATCACATTTTAGCAAGTGACCTTTTTGTCATCTTCATTTCCTGATCTCTGAGCAGATCTTTGGAAACTGTTTTGTTTGTAAAATGTGCTGTAGAAATAAAGAGGATCTGATTTTGTCTAAACCTGCAAAGCTCAAAACACTCTGTTCCACTTTGAGATGGACAGATCCAGAGCTGAAATGGTCCAAATGATTCTATTGAAGGTGTGTGGAGTTTAAAACACAGTGGTACCACATGATGACATCACAAAGTGGAACAGTTTTCAGTTTGAGAGAAGAACTCAG